AGGCTGGTCTCGAACTCCTGAGCTCAAACGATCCGCCCACCTCGGCCTCCCAGAGTGCTAGGATTACAGGCGTGAGCCACCGCGCCCAGCCCTCTGCTCGGCTTTTAAATTTTTCACTTTCTTTCTTTTGTTCCAGGTTGGGTTAATTTCTATTGACCTATGTTTGAGGTGACTGATTTTTTTTTCCTTGTCTGTGTTTAGTGTACTGATGAACCTGACAAGCATTCTTCATCTCTGCTACCACGTTTGTTTGTTTGTTTGTTCGTTTTAGCATTTCCTTAACACTTTTTTATAGTTTTTATCTCTCTGTTAGAGTTGAGGACTCAGGTTTCAGATGTAGATTTTCCACTTATTTTCTTGGAACCTTGGTTTGTTCTTGTATAAAATAGAAAAGTCAGGAATATATAATAATAACTAATGGAATTGTTTTGAGAATTCAGTGAGGTCATGGATAATATAAATGCATGCCATTAGGCAAGTTCCTTCCCTCCCCATACATAGTGTTTAAGATAAATATTGTATTTTAAAGTAGCTTTTGCTTTATAAATTACCATAGAGTAAAAATAATGAATTTCACAGAGATGTCCAAATTTCTGTGTTTTGAAGTAGTTTTACTGTAGTGGATATTACTCAAGACTGAAATTATTTAATACAAAGAAACATTCTTATTCACACTGTGAGCAACTGTCTTCCAAAATACAGACCACACAATACAGGCATTCTTATTTGAATAGCACAGGGAATAACGTTGAATTATTTTGTAATTTTTTCTAGACATAACAGAAGTTTTCACAAAAGTGTGTTTCTGATCATAGATACTTTAGAGTTAGAAGGAACCTAAGAGATCCAAACTAACTCCTTTCTGCCACCTAGAGAGATGAAGGGATTTATCGAAAGTCCTGTAGCTGGCTAATGACAGAGCCAGGGAGAGACCAAGTCCTTTATCTGTTATGCCACAGTGGTGCATTCCTCTGGAAAAAACTGCCTACTCATTCTCGGTTTTTAATGCTAGTTAGAGTCTTGGGGTAAGGTTTTTTCCATGACTAACTAGTGCTCTTTTGTTTTCTGTGTGGGTGTCTGGGAACAAGCTGGGTTTCTTTCTGTTTTTTTCTTTTCTTCTTTTTTTTTTTTTTTTTTGGTAATGAGACATTTGTCTGCTTAACACTTTAGAGGTTAAGAAGTGGTTGTAGCTCAAATTCTCTGCCCTCATTGTTGATAGGCAGGTATTTTAAAGTTGAGTTTCTTAACCTTTGGAATTCCCTAAACTTTTATGAAAATTATGTAAATATATGCTTACATTCCAAGAAAAGAATCTATAGCTTTTATCAGGTTATCAAAGGATACCTAGTTTTAGAGGAAGGGAGAACTAAGCCTGATTACACTCTAAATACTAATGATATCAGAGGGCTGGCTCCCTTATCTCTGGCTGTCTTGCTGGTGCCTTTTCCCACTGACAGGCCTTCTCCAGACAGCTTCCTGGATCTTGTCGTGGAAGCCACTGGAGGATCTCAATCTCTTTGTTGCAGGAACCTTCCCCAGTGGTTTCCCAGAGCTACCTTCTCTCTCTCTTCTCTGTTTACTGTTTCAAGGAGACCTTGTGAGACTCAGGGATTTTTGTTCATTAGAAAGCTCAGGAGTGTTATTTCAGTTACATTTTGATTAAAAGGGATTTGTGAGCTGACCTGAGAACCTAAGACGATTGAAATAAGAAAAAAATGCAATTGGAATTCTAATCAATACTTTGCCAATTAAGTTTTAGAATGCCTCTAATTCTTTAGTTAGGGAATCTCTGTGTTTGATCTGGAAACTAACTCTTAACATTTTCCAGGAGCAGAATGAAAATTCATGGATTTTCATGGATTTTCAGCCATTTGTTTAAGAGTTACATCTATCTATAAAAACTTAAATTTTTTCTTCCTGAATTTTATCTGACTTTAAAGAATCTACCTCTGAAAAGAAATTCATTTTGATGGGTATCTTTCCTAGAAGAGAACATAAATCATGTTCTAAATTTTCTTTTTAAGTCTAGCACCTGGACATACAAAGAAAAACCTAGCACTAAGATTGAAGTTGGAAGAGTTTGTTCATTTGTTTATTTATTTTATTTTTATTTTTTGGAGATCAGATCTTGCTCTGTCTCCTGGGCTAGAATGCAGTGGCATTATCATAGCTCACTGCAACCTGGGCTCAAGACTCCTGGGCTCAAGTGATCCTCTTGTCTCAGCCTCCTGAGTAGCTGGGACTACAGGCATGCGCTACCACACTGAGCTAATTTTTTTATGTTTTGTAGAGATGCTGTCTCACTATTGCCAGGCTGGTCTCCAACTCCTGGGCTTAAGTAGTCTTCTCAACCTTGGCCTCCCAAAGTGCTAGGATTACAGGCGTGAGCCACCATGCCTGGCTTGTTTATTTGTTTTTCAAAAGCACTTGCTGAGTATATATGATGAGCCCTCAGTCATCATGTTAGATGCTGGGAACTGAGACTGGTTTCTTCCCTTCTGATGCTCACAATCTGTCAGGGACACAGTGTAAGAAATAAGAATAACAATTCAACACACTAAATACTCTAATAGAGGCACTAAAAAAGCAATGAACTCAGAACTCTGCCTGGCCAGGAAGAGGGGTGGGAGCATTGGCCGAGTGAGTTAGGGTAACGTCACAGAAAAGGTCACAAATATTTGAGTTCTATCTTAAAGGTTCAGTAGAAACTTGTCTGGCAAGGAAGGGATCTTAGATACAAATGATGTGTTTGTGCCTTTCTAATTCCAACAAAACTTAACATTTACCACTCTTATTTGTATTTTTCATTAGAGCTCCAAACGAGAATGGAAGCCTCTGGAGGACCGTAGCTGCACGGACATACCATGGCTGCTGCTCTTTATCCTCTTCTGCATTGGGATGGTAAGGAAGCTCTTGCAGATGATCTGACTCTGAACTCGTGGCCTGAGGGAGTGATGTGAGGTGGTTTGATGGGGAAGCTTGTTTTATGTATGTGTGTGTGTGCGCATGTGTGCTTTACCCCTCCTACGTTGCTTATAATTTAGGGGCTAGGATAGCATTGAGGCAGGTTGTTTTTGCCTCAGATAGTTCGGTGGTATTTGGTATCCCTCCTGACTTTTTGTTTTTCTTATGTAAAAACTGAGATCAAAATTAAGGAACAACTGAGACTCCTATCTCATTCAGTAGATCATTTCAGAAAGCAGATCATTTGACATATGTCTCTGTGAACTGTAATCTTGAAGGGGTGGTGAGCAGAACAGTGGCTGTGGCGTCACCAGCCCTGAATATTCACCCAATGCAGTCACAGGAATCTTATGGTTATCTTTGGGGCAGTCAGTTCTCCTCTCAGAAACTTGGTGTTCCTTAATTCTTCCTGGATGGGAGGCTAGTTGCTCACTACTCCTTCCTGCTTCTGCCGACACCAGGCCCCTGCTGTCTGTTGTGTCTGCTGTAATGAGTGGCATCTTTTGATTGGAGATCAAGAGACCTGGTGATTTTCCAGTGGGTATAGAGGATGGAGGAGCAGAGACCCTGGTGCAAGGTGTCGAGAGTATGCTTATTTGATTGCATACCCATTTCTGACGCAGACCTCAGTAGCTTTGGAGTCATTGCCAGTGTGCTGGGCAGAGTGAGATTTTCCTAAAGAATCAGTGTGCTGGGCAGGAAAAAAGATACAAAACTGCTGTTACAGAGCTGGCTGATATTAGAGCCAGAAATTACTTGGAAATCCTCATCTGGTACATCGCCTTCATTTTACGGATTAAAAACATCAAACCTGTAGATGGAAGTGACCATCCCTAGGCCACATTGCTAGTTAACGGCAGAGCTGGGAACAGAGCCCAGGTCTCTTCACTTCCAGGCCAATGCTGTTTTCTGCACCCTGTTTCCTCTTCCTCAGGGAGATGGTGCAGACATAGTATTGTTCTCTCTTAGCCTTTTACAACTCAGAATGCAATTATGCTACTTCAGGCAGCAGCCTTTTTCTTATCGTGTGAGTATTTTTAACCCCCTTCTTCTCATACCTTTTATAGAGGCTCTTTAGGAAAATCTTACTCTGTGTCTTCCTGTAACCACCTGCCTTGCCTGTGCCATTTGTGAATCACAGAACGACCCTAACCTTGGCTAATAGGCACAAACGTAGGCACCAGTTTTGTACCTGAACCGAGGAAAAGAAAGCAGAACATTTTAGTGGGATCCAATAAATCCAGTAAAATAAGAATTGGGTTTTTTGGGTTTTTTTTTTTTCATATTTTTAGAGATGGGGTCTTACTTTATACCCCAGGCTGGGGTGCAGTGGCACAATCATAGCTCACTGTAACCTCAAATTCCTGGACTCAAGCGATCCTCCCACCTCAGCCTTCTGAGTAGCTAGGACTACAGGCACAGGCCACCACTCCTGGCTACTTTTTAAAAAGTTTTTTTGTAGAGGCAGAGTCTCACTATATTGCCCAGACTGGTCTTGAACTCCTGGCCGTGAGTGATCCTCCTGCCTCCGTCTCCCACAGTGTTGGGATTACAGGCGTGAGCCACCGCGCCCAGCCAGAGATCAAAGCATAATTTCACCAAATTTAGAATATTTAGAAAAGGTCTAAATACCCATTTCCTAATGTAGGACTTATATTTTTCAAGAGTTTAGTTAGTGTAATGGAATGGCACCTGAAATGCGGCATGCCAGAATATTCATGCAGAGTGTAGAAAAGACTTTTTGCTAGCAGAATCAGTCCACAGCTTTTCCCCACTCCCTGAATGTAACCCTCGGACAATAGCAGCTGACCTTTCAGAATTATGTTTACAGAAACATGTACCATCCCACCCAAAGTGCTTTTGATTTTCTGTGCTAAAGTAGCTCAGGAAAGTGCAATCATTAATGTTAATAGGCCGATTTGGGAGTGACTTGAGACTAAGGAGTTGGTTGTTTACTGAAACATTTTAATGCAATGGTAATTAATATAATGTTGATTTCAGCATGATGGTAATTAAGACCCACTGTGTGTACTTTTAAATGCAGGCATAGTGCTATTTGTTTTGGAATAATTCTTTTAGTAGGTTACTTTTATGGGATTGTGGTAACATCAAGTTTTGCCATTTGGAAACTGAAGAAATCTCAAAGTTCTGTTCTCCATCCCACTGGCAAAATCTAGGTTCAAAGTGTTTTGGCTTTTGAGTATTTGCTTTATATGGTTTTTAGAAGTTCCCCCTTCACCCCCACTCCTTTGGATTTTATTCTATAGTACACTTAAAAGAAACATTCAATAAACATTTTTGGGGCATTAATCTATGTTCGACATTTTCATATATGTATTTATCTCATTTAATTCTCCCATTTACCCTATAAGATAGGTTTTGTCCCCTGCTTATAGACAAGGTATAGTTAGGTTAAATATTAGCTTGTCTAAGAATATACTGCTGGAAAAAAGTGGCAAAGATAGAAAAGGAACTGGAACTTTCTGGCTATGTCCTAGTGGCCCAACTCTCTCCTTCTTTTATAGATTATTTCTCAGTCATCTTGTAGCCTAATATTCAAACCATATCTTTATCCTCTGTCTTTACCTTTAGTTTTTTGCTTATTCCTTGATACCTATGCTCTAGCTCTTAAATATTTTAAGAGCTTGTCATCTTTCACTTATCTTTACCATTAAATCTTTATTTACACATGTTCATCTCTCCGTCAATATTTGTAGTTCTCTTTTATTTCGTCCCTTAGTTTCAAGGTTTTTCTAATGCTTGAATTGTCTAGAATTTAGAGTGTTTTTCAAAGTCAATTGCTATCAGCCTTCTTGGGAGCTATCTTCCACATTTGAACTTTCATCAGTATTTTGAAATGACTGGGCATATACTTAATCCTGCTCTAAAAAATTACATGTGGTGTTAGACTTCTAAATTTTATATTTTTCATTAAGGTCGTAAACTAGTGGTTCTCAGCCTTAGCTGCATGTTAGAATCAGCTGGGATCTTTTTTTTTTTTCAAAAACTCATTTCTTGGCCCTACCTCAATGATTCCAACATAATCCCTGCAATTCTGATGTTCAGCCAAGGTTGAGACCTACTATTGTAGGCACTGATAAACCACTGGAAAGTGTGGAGCAGGAAGTAATATGACTGGGGTTAGAAAGATGACCCAGGCAGCTAATGTTAAAGATGGCTTGGAAGGGGGAAGACATTTTAGGCAGACCACTTTGGAGGCTGATGCAATGGTCCAGATAAAAGGTGAAAAATCTGAAATGAGGTAGTGGTTAAGGAGAGGCAGAGAGAGATTGAAGAAGTAGATCAAGAACATTTATCAGTGGTGTTATCCTTGTTGCAGGCAAGTGAGAGACAGATCAAGGATGACTAATAGGTTCCTATATTAGGGGTTGAGGGTAGGACTTTTCAGCTCAAATCTTACTCCCAGCTCCTCCTAGATTCTCGGCCATGGTTTTTGTACACATCAGGGAACAAGAGTGGGATGGATAAACAAAGTACCACTTTATTAGTAGCTGAACAGTTTCCTGATTATGCTCACTAAAGCATTTTCTGGTAAAAATGACTCATGGAATGAAGCTTGAGCCACATGGGCTAAAGTTCCTTCCCATCTAGGATGCTCTGACTTCACTCTGTCTCAAGGACAGTAACGTGTCAGAAGAGAAGAGAGGAAGAGAGAACCAGATCTACACAGAGCAGCTTACCACCAAAGGCAGGAAAGAGAAGGGGCTGGATGGCCCTAGCGTGGATGCTTACCAGATGCTTACCATGGAAAATAGAAGATACGGGGGCCTCCTACAACTTACCCTGATAGTTACTGCTGCTTACTACGGACTAGACACTGTTCTCAGCACTTGACACATAGAAACTCATTTAATTCTCACAACTGCTTAAGGAAGTATACATTATTGTTATCATCATTCCCATTTCACAGATAAAGAAAGAGAGGCACAGAGATATGTTCAGTAGCTGTCTGAGATTACATAGTAGCAACATTGCACTGAGGAGGGAAAAGGAAGAAGGTGAGGCCTCAAGAGGTAGACCCTACCTCGTTGCCTAGAATTGGAAACAACAGAAAAAGTTGTTCAGAATTTAGACCTGTAGCATGTAACCTTTCTTGCCAGTAAAATGTGGTCTCTTCAGTGTCTCAGGATGCAACTGAGTAGCTTAGCATCACCTCTTCCTCTAGTGGGGCGTTAGGAAGCTAGGGTGAGGGGCAGAAAAGCCTGCGGAGAGGAGACTGCAGAGTCCTCTACTCCGTATCCTGTATGTGCAGTCTAGGAGAGAAGTGGCGCCACTAATGGAGATAGAGTATATGCAGGAAAGGGAAAGAGTTCAGGGAAATGTAGAATGAGAAACTGAGTTTTGGATATGCATACTCTGTAAGGATAAGCAGTCGGAAATGCAGGGTTGGAATTTTGGAGAATGATCTGGACTAGAGCTGGATTTAGGAGACATCATTGCGTAGTTTGTCCCTTCAGACTGCTTTCAAGGACCTTTTTTATTTTATAGCATTAGTCTATTTCCTGGGGCATGATGTTTCTACCTCATTAACTATTGTTGAGCATGCAACATAAAGTGAGAGATTCACTGCAGCATTTAGTCACCTGTTTGATGGTCTGTTCTTTGCC